AAAATTTATGAAATTAATAAAGTTTAGCTAATAGCATTTGTATAAAGTAAAAAAAAAAAAAAAAAAAAAAAAAAAAATCTATATTGTTACAAACTAATATAATTATAATACTTAACTATTTAAATTAGCTAGTTTATCACAAATCTATTTATCTACTTTAGTTTAAATTTTCTTAGTTTATATTATATTTAACTTATTATAAGTATTTGTAAAGCTAGTTAATATTAAAGCAAATTTACTAAAGTAGTCTATACTTATTTTACAAATTTATCTAGCTTAAACTTTTGTAATATTTATATAATTTTAGTTTTTATTATAGCTTTTTACTAGTATATATTTTCAGATTTCTTTAAATGTTTTACAAGTTAGATCTTTCTAAATTAGTTAGCTATTAAGTCAAATTAGTATTACTAATCTACTAGTATTTGTTTACTATTTATAAGTTATAATTTAATCTGTAATCTTTTTTTTATAAAACAAATTTATTTGTATCTATTCTAATCTATATTTTTAAACCAGCTTTTTTTTGAATTAAGTATTAGCTAATATAATCATTAAAAGCTATACTATTTTACTAACTTAAAATTTTTATTATACAGATTTCTTGTTTATAGATTCTATTAAGATTTATTCATACAATATTATGTTATATTTCTTTTTTTTTTATTATTAAAGTAGCTTCTTTGGCTGATTAGATTTTATTAATTTGTTATTATAGAGTTACTATAGTAGTAATCTTCTAAGATTTTATAGTTATATGATGAATATATAATAAACTATATATATAATTTTAGTCATTATCTAATTTAAGTAGTTTGCTATACAGATAATTAACTATTTGTTAGTTTTATACTATGCTACTATATCTGCAACCTATTTGTGAGTTATCTATTTAAATACTGATTATTAACCTTTCTTCTATTCCAAACTAATATCACTACTATATCTAACTATTTAAATCAGCTAACTTATCTGTAGATCTATTTATTATATAACTTAGATTCTCTTAAAATATGTATTGTCTAATATATTATGAGCACATAGAGCTCTAGTTAACCTCAGAAATATATCTACTAGAGTAGTTCATGCTTATTTCATAAATTTATTTAGTTTAAACTTTTGTAATATTTGTATGATTCTAGTTTCTACTATAGCTCTTCACCAGTATATATTGTTAGATTTTTTTAGATATTTTATGAGATAAATTCTTCTAAATCTAGTTAGTTTTAAACCTAGTTGATATTACTAATCTTTTTATAAAATAGACTTACTCATATCTATTCTAATTTACATACTTTAAAAAAGTTTTTTTTGAATTAAGTATTAGCTAGTATAACTATTAAAAGCTATACTACTTCACTAACTTAGAATTTCTACTATGCAGATTCATTGCTTATATATCTAATACAGATTTATTTGTATAGTATTACTATTATATTTCTAATAATTAATTGACTTGATACAATAATATTTTTTACAAAGTTTAATATATCTTCTAATATTTTCTTTCAGAGATAAGCAGAGTTTTTTATAAGTTGGATACATAGGTTTAAAAAATTATTCAAATTTATTAATAGTAAAATTTGAATACTAGATCTATTGTATAATAATCTGATAATCTAACTACTATATTAGGTTATTAAATCTATATTATGTTATATTTTTAATATTTAATTTATATTATTATAATATGATTTATAAAATAACAATCTTTAGAAATAAACAAAGTTTACTAAAAGTTAAATACTAAGATCTAGATAATTATTCAAATTTGTTAATAATAGGATTTGAACTTCAAATCTTTTATAGAATAATATTACAAATAATTCTTTTATATATATATATATATATATATTTTAACCTTAGGCAATTTTACTCTTCATTTTATTAAAAGAAATATCATAATAATATGTAAACAAATACAAAAAAAAAGAACAAAAATTCTAATTTAAAGCAATATCTTCTTTGTTGCAATTCTAGATTTATTCAGCTACCCAAATAGTGTCTAAGTACAATCTGCAGTAGTAGCAATTTTCTTCCTAAAACTAAATATATGTCAGTATATACTTGTCTAATCTCTATCTATAGAAGGCTATTTCTAGCTAATATCAAGATTGCTATAGCAAGATCACTCTATCCTTAATCTGAAATAAATCAAAGAAAAAAGATAAAATATAGTTTAGCTATCACAAAAAAAATAAAAATTGTATAAATCTAAATAGCTATGATCTATAACATGTTTTAAATTAGAAAAACCTGCTATAGATATAAAAAAACTAATTTGAAAAGAGAAATATAAAAAGAAAAAAGAAAAAAGATGAGGAAAAAAACTTAATCTAAGAAAAGAAATCTCTCTTTAGTTGATAAAAATATTACACATACACAATAGTAAAAATATGTATTTCATTATTTATACTAATTCTATAATTAGATTTAAACAAATTAAATCATAGTTCTACTATTGTAATAAAAAGTTTTTAGTAACAGTATCTGTTAAATTTATTTCTTATAAGAGAATAATATCTAGTTTATATGACTTTAAAAGAATAAGTGTTCTTTGTACTTTAGACTTATTGTTTAAGCCTTTAATATAGAGTTGTTATTTTGATTTTGTTTATTTTAAAAAGTATTTAAAGAGTTTTGATGCTTTTTATGTATTTTAATACTTCTAGTAGTATCTACTCTTTGTTTCATTATCAGAAGAAAGGTTTTTTTTCTTGATAATCTAGTTGATTTAGAATGACTTTATCTTTCTTTTTTGTCTTATTACTAGATTTTTTTAAGATAGTAATAGTAAAAGATTCTTCTTTTGGATCACTATTTATATTGATTTCTATTGAATCTAAATTTTGCTTTAAGTTTGAATTCTCATCTCTACTTCTAAAGGAGTATAGGAAAAGAGCTTAATAATCATTTATTCTTGTATTTCTGAGTTATTACTTTCAAAATATAGTTCTCTTCAGGTAGTTTTGAAGATTATTTGAGTTAGCTGAAGAAGTAGAGATATTTTCTGAGGTTACTAAGTTATTAAACTTCTTAGTGTTTTTTGCAAAATTAGAGATGTAAAAGTTATCTGAACTAAATTCTGAAGTTGAGTTTGAACTAGTTTTGTTTTTTTATACTTTTTTTTCTTTTTGAGCATAACATAGTTTGATTGAGAGTTTGAGATTTCTACAGTCTTTTTTGATATATATATTTTTTTTATAGTAGTAACAAACTTTTGAAGCTTTCTTTTAGTCTGTAGTAATTTTGTAGTCTCTTACATAAGTATTTCTAAGAATTTTTAAAGATAAGTCTAAGTTATCAGTTGTTTT